TGTGTGTGTGTGTGTGTGTGTGTGTGCTGTAGATGTGTGAACAGGAGAAGCTTCTAAACACACATCAGGAGCATGTTTCTGAGCTGCAGCTCACCATCCGCAGACTGCAGGAAGAAGAGGTGAACAGCCAGACTCAGCTGCAGCTGTGCAGGAGAGAACTGGAGACCAGAGATGAGCAAGTGCAGAAACACTACCAAGAGGTATTATGGGAACACCATATATTAATTATCCAGCCTAAGCTCCAGGTCCTATAACCCATCCAAACCTAGTCATTAGCTGGTACAAACAAGTTTGAGTGATTAATCATTGGACTATGAGTCACTAGGAACAAAGTTGGCCATATTGGTTAACCTGGACAGAGCACCTTGTATCAGCTGGCGGGGACCTGCAGTTGTTTAACTATATTGTACTATGCTACTTGAACTGGTTAACCAGTATGGTTTTAAAGGAGTAGTAAGAAAATGTAATATTTTATGGTGGTGTCCACTACTGTTCAAAAGTTGAGGGCCAGTAAGATTTTTTTTTTTAATGTTTTTAAAAGAAACAATGTTTTTAAAAGTCTCTTATGCTCACTACGGCTGCGTTTATGTAAACAAAAATACAGTTAAAACAGAAATAATGTAAAATAATATAACTATTTAAAATAATCGTTTTCTGTTGTAATACATTTTTTAATTGAATTTATTCCTGTGATGACCATGCTGAATTTTCAGCAGTCATTAATCCAGTCTTCATTGTCACATGATCCTTTAGAAACAGGGTTATTATCATTAACTAAAACTAAAACCATAATAAAAAAAAATACATTCTTTGAATAAAAATAAACAACTGAAATAAAATAAAATATAAAAAATGTGTATTTTTGGGATTTCAGCTAGTTATCAAGTCAACATTTCTCATTTTTTTTAAGATTCATTAAGTTTTATTTCAATTTAAAACTAAATAAACTGAAACTAAAAACTAAAACTTAATTTAAAAAACTATATAGACATTTAAAAAATACAAAAACACAAAGTTAAAACTTGAACTAAAATTCAAATGAAAACAGAAAACATCAAATAAAATCGAAATTTTCTTCCTCTGAACATTTTTTATTATCATCCATGTTAAAAACAGTTGTGCTGCTTAATATTTTTTATGGAAACCATGATAGATTTTTTCAGGAATCTTTGATAAATAGAAAGTTCATAAGAACAGTATTTATTTATTTTTTATCATTTTTATTTTTGGTGACAATGTGAAAGCTTTTTAATGCATGCTTGTTAAATAAAAGTATACATTTCTTTCAAAAATAAATAAATCTATAAATCTTACTGACCCCAATCTTTGAACAGTAGTGTAAATTAAATGTTGCATTTCTTGCTGCTCTTTTCTCAGATGAGCACTCTGCAGGCAACAGTGTCCAGGCTGAAGCTGGTGCTGGAGCAGGAGCGGGAGAGGTGGCGGCAGGGGGTACAAGAGGCAGCCAAGGCCGATCAGAGAGGGAGAGAGCTGAGACTGGAGCTCAGCACAGCACAGGCCTCTCATAAAGAGTACATGGAGCTGGTATGCTCACTTCCACTAACACACAGACACATTGTGAACCATGCCTAACACACTGGAGACAGATATCGCTGTGTGTTCTAGCTGGCTGAGTACAGTCGAGAGGGGACGGCCCAGAGGAGTGAGCAGGCCCGTCTGCAGCAGTGCCTGATCCAGCTGACAGAGGAGAGGGAGACTCAGGAGGAGAGAGTCAGACAGATGAGCGCAGATCTACAGAGAGCGCACAGTGAGAGCAGGTGCTCTCAGGAGGAGGTAGGACTGATGCATATGCATATTGGGATTCATTGTTCAGTCTATATTTGTTGACAAAACATGTACATTTATGCAACAGTCGAGACGATTTTATCCAAAGCAACTTACACTGCATTGAAGGTATACTTTTGTTATTAGTTCATGCATTCCCAGGGTAATCGAACCCACGATCTTGGCATCGGTAGTCAAATACTATAGTATTTAAGTATTTGGGAACATCAGCCACTAGAATAACTGCAGCTTTGTAGATGTATGTGTATGGTCTTAATTCAGTAAGAAATAGAATATGCAAAATCCCTGTAAAGTAACAACATACTCCTGTATCTTAACTGACATTTTCGTAACCATATGTGCAGCATTTGGTGCTAAATGAATAAAATGAATGTAATTTACATTTTTCTGTTTCCCATGCTAGTATTTGTTTATGCATTTCATTAAAAGTAAAATGCATTATACTTTTCAAATGGATGGATATTTAATTTTTTAATTCAATAAGTAAAAAGGAAATTTACATGTTATTGTTTTTAAATGCAATTAGACGCACAATTAGGTCATCTGAATTTTTTTTATTATTATTTATATATATTTTTTTCATTATTTTTCATGCTTTTTCAGCAAAATCTTTTTTTCTGTTTTAATGTAAATAAAAGGCGAAATTGTAAATAATGTAATATAAAAGCCTACTCTGTTTATCATATAAAGTGATCTTTTCAGAAGACTGATTAAACCGCTTCATATGGATTGCTTTTACAATGTCTTTATGAACTTTTTAAAGCTTAAAAGTTTTGGTTGCTTGGACTTTCGAGGGAGGGACAGGAATCTCTCAAGTTTCATTAAAAAATACCTTAATTTCTGTTTCGAAGATTAACCAAATTCTAATGTGTTTGGAGCAATATGAGGGTGAGTAAATAATTACAGAATTTTCAGTTTTGGGTGAGCAGTCCCTTTAATTACCTCAAATGGTTGACTAATAATAATGTTACTGAAGCCACAAACCCGAACTTAATCCTAAAATCTGATCGGTTGATAGGAATGTTCCAGAACCAACAGTGATGTCCATAAGGAAGGGAGTTCTCTGACTTTGGCAAACCCCTCCGTAACACTTTTTCTTGGAGTTCCTGAAATATGTGCAGAACTGCAGTGCTCATGCAGACAGTAGGGCCAGTGTAGTAATTTAAACCACTCACTCTCATTCTTTAAGTGCTGTCAGTGTTGTAGGGTAACTCTAATTGGTTTTGGATAACCATCCTCGTCATTTTATGGTCAGCAAACTCCACAGAATAACAATAAAACTGAAAAATAAAAAAATAAAGTGTCTCCACTGTCCAGGGCCTAATGTATACATACATACGCACACACTCCGGTTGGACTGCAGAAATAATGATTATGCGCGTGTGTTGTGCATCGGTTGTTTGTTTTCAGCTCGGGCTTTTAAAAATAATTGCTGTTGGTGCTGCAGCCATATCAGAGGAAGGCCAGTAATGATTCTCGCCAGTCGTGTGGAACGTGGTTTGCAGGGAAGCGAGAATAAAGGCGGCTATCATTTCTGTGTGCGTGTTTGTCTGCCTGGCACATAATTATGGTTGCATAAGGTTGTGTATTCATATGGAGTATATGTGTGTGAGGTGCTATGATTACAATGGGCGTGTGTGTGTGTGTGTGTGTGTGTGTGTGTGGGTTTTCAAATATACTCCGGCCCCCGTCTGTAAATCAGGTGTGAATGGAAGAAACTGATGAGTCGAGAATCTCATTTGAGTGTGTGTGTGGGATCACAGAGGGATTAGAGTTGGATATAAAGCTGCACAGGTGTCTGAGACTACCTCATAACCCGCTCACACACACGCAGCATTTTAATTGTCTTTCTCCTTTTCTTCACCGCCTTTTATTGGCTCTCCTCTGCAGTGTGTGCGCTCTGGGTAAAGGTCACCGCACTCCACCATCTTACACACTGACAGCATTTCTAGCCATGAAACTAGTCTACCTTTGAATTTCAAGCTGAATTCTCCTATGCTGAAAACCTGAGATCTCATATGAGCCAAAATGGCATGAGCTGCTATAGATTTGCAACATCATAAGAGTGTAATAGTGATTTGTTCAGGGAGAGAAAGTTTAACGCAGGTAAAGATTAAGTCAGCACTTGTATTTTGCGTCCTCTGCTTGCAGAGGAATATTTTTAGCATATTGTACACCCCAAACTATGTATATACACTGCCGTTCAAAAGTTTGGGATCAGTATGATCTCTTATGTTCTTCTTATATTTCTTAAGTTCATCAAGGCTGCATTTATCTGATCAAAATACAGAAAAAACAGTAATATTGTGAAATATTATTGCATTTTAAAGGGGTCATATGATGCGATTTCAAGTTTTCCTCTCTCTTTGGAGTGTTACAAGCTGATTGTGCATAGATAAGATCCCTGAAGTTGCAAAGACTAAAGTCTCAAATGCATTCAACAACATACAACATTCAACGCTTTTGGACATGTAATCATGTAATCATGGTATTATATTGCCACGGTACTTTTTTGTAAGTGTAAAAAGAGCTGTTGGAATGCTTGATTCTGATTGGTCGATCACTGCATTCTAGAGAAAATTATTTTGCATAATTACAACTAAATTGTGTAATTGATCATCCAAGGCAGCGTCATTATTGTTAACTACAACTATTAAAAGTCATTTTTGTTCATTGAAATAAAGCTGAAATTAAATCTAAATACTAGATGAAAAGTACACATTACATAAAAAAAATAAAGATATGAAAATTAGAAATGTTGCCTTGGCCACTGGAAATAAATATGTTTATGTTGAAGGTATACAATTACTAAAATTGAAAATAAATAGAAATCTTAATAGAAATATTCACAGAATCACATAAAATGACTAAAATTCAAATGAAAATTAAAAATATATAATATAAAATCAACGTGAATTGGAAATATTTATAAATGCTATAATAGTAACAGTAATAGTAATAGTAACACTGATCCCAGGCAGCTAATTAATTTACTTTGAAACGATTTTATCTCAAATATTGCTAGTAAATTTAACAAATAATTACAAAGAAATTGCAAGTTACACATTGAATTAAACCTGAAATTTTGAAGTAGAAAGAATAAAGGAGTATTTTTTGTAAAAACAAACTCCAAAAATCTTTATTTACAAGTTAAAAATAATTTCTGTAGTGTAGCTGTGCTACTTTAATGTGTTTTGTATCATTCCATCTCACATAATATAATTTCAACTCAGTTCAATACTTCATACCTATTTATGTGTTTATGTTGTTTTAAATTATATTTTGTATATATTTTAATAAAACAAGAGAATGCTATTTCAGTCTTTCTACTACCAAATTTCACATTTAATTAAATGTGTTTAATTCAGTTCTTTGTCATTAATTATGAAATTTACTAACAATTTCTGAGTGAAAACGCTTTCTACGCTTTTTTTTCTCCCTAATCACCCTTTTGGTGTTTATTTTGCAATAATGACCATCTGTCAGGTGTTTTCCCTTACATAACATCAAATATGACTTTTTACTGCATTGCATGTCGTAAATTGTATCGCATGTTGCAGTGCATGGTTCCTGTTGGAAACAGTATATAGATTTACAAAGTCTAGAAAGTGTCTGTGGTGCATCAGAACTTCTGCATCCAGAGAGAGGCAGTGTTATAATGGCTGTATCATTATCATTCAGCATCATGGTTCATTGTGACAGCAGCTCGCAGCTTCCTCACTGCAGCCCATTATCTCTGCCCCTGCTCCACTCCAGGCACACTAATGAGAAGCTGGCACTCAAGATCAAAGACCAGAGCAGGAAGATCATCCACCTGACAGCTGAGAGAGAGTAAGCCCCGCTCACCCTGTCCAAAGCTGTTTCCGCTCCTCTCAGTTGGAGTGTGTACAAACATGGATTTTAGGTCCAAGTAGCAGGGAATGTGCATGCGAAGATACGGTGAGAGGGTACACTCATGTGAAATGGGATTAGGCTGTAATGTTTGTCCTGTCTTCATGCAGTCACCTTCAGGAGAATGTGAAGGGTTTACAGGGGGAAATCAGGAGGCTGAAAGCAGCTGGATAAAGAGAGAATGGAAGCAGAGCGACTGAAGGTAACACACACTCCAGCGCAAAGCCTCTAACACACTCCATTCATCAAAGAATCCCGAAAAACATGTATCATGTTTTCCACACAAAAAAATATATTTAGCAGCACAACTGTTTTCAACACTGATAATAGTCAGAAATGTTTCTTGAGCAGCAAATCATCATAGTAGAGTGATTTCTGAAGTATCATGTGACACTGAAGACTGGAGTAATGATGCTGAAAATTCAGCTTTGCGTCAGAGGAAGAAATTACATTTTCAGAATATTACTATTTTTACTGTATTTTTGATCAAATAAATGCAGCCTTGATGAGCACAAGAGACATTCTAAAGCATTCAAAAATATTACCCCTAATATATATTAGGGATGGGCATTCCAAGCAAAAATAATATTCGAAAATCGCTGGGTATTATTTGATTATTATTCGAAAATCGCACCCCTCCCCCGCAAGCACGCACAAACACCCATAAACAGAGAGAGATGGAGAGAGACGGGATTCACGCTTTCAATATGTATGATAAACTGTTTAATTCAGAAGATAGGCTACCTTAACTCAAGCCATATAATGATCATAACGTGCTGAAACGTATTAATATAATAAACATAACCGAATTACGGCACTTATTAACATAACAGTCTGTCGATTAGCATAAATCAACTGCTCATAAGGCTAGGACATTTCCATTTCGTCACAATTATATCGTTGGGTAATTACACTGTATATAAACTGCGGGCATCAGGGAGCCGTTATTAATATGCTGGGCATTGAAATCGCTTATAAACGCTCGCTTGTTTTTTACTTTCACTTTCAAGATTCGCGATCACATACGGAGCAGCACTCGGCAGTACTTACTACACATTTTACAAGATTAGGTGTTTGTCAGTGGTGCTCAGGATCTGCAAATCATTCACCATCTTCCTATCAGTCACCTCTCCTTACTCTGTTTATGTGGTAAGTGAAACGTTATGTACTGTAATGTAACAGGCTATGGCTAGCAAGCGGCTAACCATGTCCCTTTAGTGGGTTTGTAGAGGGCGTTATTTGTTTTCCGCGCCTTTCACGGATTCAGACACACCTCTAACCCAGTCGAGAGTGTTTGTGTTCCGCACAGCACTCTTCTTTGACATCGTCCCAAGTTACTGTAACCATTATATGCTACGCAAGTCTTTTTTTTTATGCCACGCAAGTCTACAGTGTGCTACTGAGTGTGTTCTTCTGTTGTCTTTGACAGCTTTTAGGTGCGTTATGGACCCATTTCACAAGACTGTGATGACGCGTTTAACGGTCATCAGCATCGTAAATCCTCGAAAGTTTTTCATATTTGTATTTTTAAAAAAATGTATGTACATTTATAACACTATTCTATGTATTATATCACCTTTGCATCAAATTATACAAAAAAACAGTTAACGCTAATACGAGGGTGTTTCTAATCCAGCGTCTATGGGAGGGATGGTAAATTTGACAACGTTCCCTCTTCTGACTGCCGTTATTAGTCTCTCTCAATTTCTTTCCTTTTATTGAAAGTCATGAAGACACTATCGTGGAGTTTTTCTTTTGCTATTTGAGCAAATGGGAATTCAAAAAATATATTTGTGGTACTCTCCCATTCACTGCTCTTCAAGTTAACCCAACTATGACGACTTCCGCTGCTGAGAAACCCCGAAATGTGAAAAATGTCCATTGGCAGCAGTGTTGCCAAGTCTACTTTAACACTGTTGCTGCGGGTTGTTTTTCATGTCCGCGGGTTGAAGCGACTCCAATAACATGATATTTATCCTCTGGAGTGCGAATTTTAGCAGGGGAACCCCGCCAAAAAACATGTATTTTACCCCCCGGAATGTGATTTTTAACTGGGGACCCCCTCGAAACGCCATTGGGCTAGTTTTGAGTCGCAATTGGGCGGGTTTTCTTGTGAAAACCTGGCAACCCTAATTGGCAGCGCCACATGAACGCGTCACCACTGCCTCAGCACGGAAGACATGGGGAAATGTTTTAAGACAATAATAGCACAACCTTTTAGATATTCTATAATTAAATCAACTAATCGAATATTCGAAAATCGTGACCCATCCCTAATATATATTAAATAATATATTTCCGTCGAGGACAGCAAGCCAAGTTCATTTACAATTAGCCATCAGGACTGGATGGGCAGGCGAATTCATGAAATATATTTTAGATTGTTCGATCCTATTACTGGTCACCATTTAAGTCACATTTTTGCATTTTTACATTGTCCTGCTGTGTCTGATGAATATGAAAGTTCAAATAATCCATGTAGCTTTCCAATGAGCTGCATGCATAATAATTATACTTTTAGTAGCACATCTAAATTACAAAATGCTGTTTCAAATCCTTGCAGTTTAAGTATATGATAGATTGAGTACAGCTACCCTGTAGAATTTGTATTTCCCTGCATTTTTGTATTCTTTGTAATATATTTTGATAATATTCTTACCTTATTTGTAATAATCACCTGTATTTCATGATAACCGCAGCGCTCGCCTCACAAGTTAGTCATCACTGAGTGAATATTAACATTCACCTCTTTGGCAAACAGGCCGTAGCCTCAGTCTTCCTTGTGAACAGGTCTTAAATGCAGGTTTTGTCCAGTTTGATCTTTCTTCTTCTCTTCTTATAATTCCCGAATGACCCAATGCTGGCCATTTCCTATTACACCTCTCCCTGTCTTATTATTTTTTCTCTCTTCCTCTATTCTCTGTTATCCCATACCCATGCATAACATCAGCGAGACCGTCTTTGTTGTGATTAGGTTGGTATTTCTCTCAGATGCAGAGAAAAGGTGTCCTATAACCGTGTCACCATTAGCCACCTCAGTCTGTCCTCTTGCCGCGCAATGATCCCGCTCTGTAGGTACAGGCTTATTCTCTGTAATGGGGTATGATCTGATTCACACTTGTGAAATTGGAAAGGAGAAGTTTAGAGATGATTGGAGAACTTTTGGCATAGTAGAGGCCCAGGGCTGGAGCTGCCGGTCTGAACCCAATCTGAACCGTGCTGATGAGTCCGTCCTGCAGGGTTGAATCCATTATCTTCCCTTTTTGTTCTGAAGGTCCGGGACCTGCTCCACATGCCACCTTATTCCATTATTGATGATGGAGAAGGAGCAAGAGAGTGAGAGACCTGCTCAGGGTCTAACTTTACACAGTTATGCTACTTCAGAAAGTTTATTCAAAGAAAAGTCGAAAAGCCAATGAAGCATTTGGTATCGTTATCCCAGAAAGTGTCTTGACTAATAATGCATAGTGCATTTTTAAGAAACAATTCACCCAAAATTGACAATTCTGTCATCATTTACTAACCCTCATATTCTTCCAAACCTCTATGAATTTGTTTATTTCTTGGAACACAGGTGAATTTTTATTATTCACTGCTATTTTTCTCTGCTGTAACTCTCACACCAGATGTTGCCATTAAAATGTTCTTCGTCAGGTTTGATGTCAGTGACATTTGGTCATGAGAGACTTGAGAACCTGCTGCAATATATGCAATAGTTTGAAATGGCACCAACACACCATTTTTGTAGTATGTCGAACTTTTGTAGTCCTTTGGTGGACATGAGCATGATGATGGTCAAAGAATAATGACTTCATTTAGTCTGTTATCATATGGCTACTGAAGGCTTGGAATATATTGCTATTTAAATACTATACTGCTAATATTAATATTTAAAAAAAAAAAAAAAGTTTGTCACCTATTCAAAGACATGTGGTCCAACTAACATGGAGAGAAAAAAAATTATAGAGAAGACACCTGCAGACCCTCATGATTTTTTTTATTTATGAAATAATGTAAACTTTTTTATGAAAACAATAGCTGGGTTTCCATCACCCTGCTTTTATGCGCATTTTGAAGTATCGCATCAGAATCGAGAGATGGAAACGCTGAAAAATGCCTTAATTCACAAAAAAAGTTTTTACGCTCGCTTGAGGTGGTTTTTGACTTGTGCGAAAAAGGGTTCATGCGAATAATGAGAGATGAAAATGTGTAAAAAAAAAAGTAATGTGACTTTGCGCTATGGTACTGCATAACCTGAATAACCAGCGGACCGATCTCATTCACAGCATCTGAAATGTTGTTTTGGTCATTCGGAAATGCTCGAGCAAAGTCTGTCATCAAAGTATTTCTGTATAATTGCCTCCCAGAAATGTCTTACATGACTGTGTTCCCAAACAGCAGCATCCACCTCCGAAAGCAATTACCGCATTCATTGCGTTTCGTCTGCTCGTTCTGAGGCGCAAGTAATTTATTATATATGACTTATATCACTTTTCTTAGTGATTTATAGTGCCAGTTTATCAGGAAGTGACCATTTTGTTCTCTTTGACTTGTTGGATGGAAGCGATGCTTGTTCGCAAATTTTTTTTGCGATATTCCAGTTTTGCGCATAAGTTAAATTCACAACTTTGGATGGAAACCCGGCTAATAATTAAGATACATTTGTGTGTATTCATTTTTTTTTTAAATGTCTGAATTTTTACTTGATGGTCACACCACATGACACTGATACAAAGAATATTTAGTTTTCATTAAAATTTTGTTTTGTGCTTGTTTTCATTTTTATTAGTTGGTTGTTATATTTCTATGTAGATTTTTATTTTTTGGGGGGATGGATGGATGGATGGATGGACTCTTCCAAGAAGAAGGGGCTTGATCCTTTGGATGAGTAGATTCAGCTTTTAGTGAATACAGAACAGTATGACTGCTTGATTTGTTGTGATAAATAACTTATAATAGCCTCAGTCGTTCCATCAGAAATCGATGGTTGTGGTTATACTGCTACGCAGGAGGGCATATATGGTTGCGTTTAATGACAGCCCTTGATCAAGATCATCGGGAGGGATGTTTATCACTGCACTCTGAGATATATATATATATATATATATATTTACTAATGTGTACATTTTGGAAGAGAAATAAAAGAGATGCTTTTACAAGACATGCTCCCCCCCCCCCCCCCCCCCCCTC